CTACATGGCTACCACTGCTTCTCTGGCTCCCCTCTGAACTTTTTATATGACTCTTGCTTATCTACAAAGGGAGGAATTTTAATTGTTAGTCATAATAGGGTACATATATTACATCCATGATCTAAATGCCTTTGAAGATACTGGAGACTTTACCAGGACAATGAACCATGCCTTTATTTCTTACACCCCAGCACTTAATAATCTGCCAGCAAAATATTTCTTGAATGCAACTGAATCAAACTGGCTTGTTTAAAATTCCAGAGTTGGGTGTTTATCCTAAGAAGGGACATATCAAAATGTTTTTAGCTATTTAAAAATTTTATATTTCTCAGATAAAGTGGGAAGATGATTATGGTCCTCACACATTCAAGCCAACTCGAATATTTTTAATGTGGCTATCTGCTGAATTCTTTATAAATAATTACCAAGAGAATTATTTTTCCATTCATTAAAAAACACAAGAAATTTCAGTTATTGCTACATCAACATATTTTTTAATACTTGTTTTGTGTATGAACATTTTACAAATCCAAAAACACTTACCTTAAAAGGAAATAATAAATGAGAGTAAAGGGAAACTATTAATGAGAACTATTATTAAGACATTTAATATTTTATATGATAGGTAGGTAAAAACTGACTAAGGAGAATAAGTGTGCATGTAATGCATATTTAAAATAATACTTTAATAAAATAATACTTTAATTAAAATAAATTATTAAGAAAAAATAGAGAATTATAAATATATTTTAATGATACTATGCTAATAACTACATACATTTATATCCATAGTGTGTATACACACACACACACACACAATACAAAAATTGATTTTATTTCAAGGACTTAACCATAGAATGTCATTGAAAAATACTAAATCATACCCCCTTGGTGGCATCTCTGTTAGGAAAAAGCTTTTCAGTTCAGTTTGCGCTCAGGAAATGAAATCTCAAGGCAGGAAGGCTGCTTAAATACTAGCAGGTCAAGTGATGCTTGATTTCCTTTTATAGTCTCTACTGACTGTCATTTGAGAAAAGCTCTGGTCTTTGTCATAATCATTTATTAAAATGAGAGATGTAAACATGTTTCACTCCAGTGTAAATTGAGATCAGCTCCCATCATGCCCTTAAAACTTGTTTTTCCAAATGTAAAAAAAAAAACAACTTGTTTTTCTAACATTCTCACAAATCCAGATGAAAAATCCAATTGGCCCATGTTAGTGTCATTTATTTGACATCAATCATTTCTCTCTTTAAATATCCTCTACTCTTAACTCTGTTTGACCTTTAATTTCTCTCCTGTATAGAAAATTCAGTCACCTTTTCTGTCCTTCCCTTTAAATGTTAATTTAACTTTAAGATTGTATCCTGGGTAGATGTCCCTCTTTTATAGAGTTTGAGGATCTATTCCTCCTTTGTTCCAATATCCATGTATATGCTGATCTATAGCCTTAACTCAATGTAGATCCTGTGCTACCAATTTCTGTACCCAAATACTACATATAGTTTTACCTGGAAGCCTCTAGTATATGAAAATTTCCTCCCCCATCACTTTCTATTTTAATTCAATGAAAGCTTCTACAATCTGTGTAATGCAATGCATGAATAAATTAAACTATCAACTTAGATGTTTTTCTTATTGTTCATTCTCTACCTTCCTCACTTCCAAATGTTTATAGACTTGACTACTTCTTAAGTGATGCATGGATCTTTTCTCTCCTTACTTTTTTTTTTTTGCTACCAGTTTTCCTAAGGTAGACATATTTCTTATATGCTTTTATTTCAGTTTCCTGTGCCCAATTTTGCTTTTTGACAATCTCTCTTTAATTTCCAACATACAGATTTAAAATTGAAATGCTTCTTCATTAAGCCTCTCTGTAAATATTTCCTTCTATGTTAAAATGGCCATCTTACCCAAAGAAATATGCAGATTCAAGGCAATTCTTTTCAAAATTTCAATAATCTTCAAATAAATAGAATATACATTACTTAAATTTATATGGAACCACAAAAGGCCCTAAATAGATAAAAGATTAATAACAAAAGAAGAGGAAGAATGCAGGTATCATAGTCACAGAGACAAACTATACTACAAAGCTGTAGTAATCAAACAATGTGCTATTGGATCAAAAATTGACAAATGAGAACCCAGAAATAAACCCACAGTTACAGACAGCTAATCTATGACAGTGGAGGCAAGAGTTGAAAAAGGAGAAAGGAAAGTTTCATCAGTACATGGCATTGGAAAAACTGGACAGTAACATGCAAAAAAAATTATTATCACTATCTCACATTATATACAAAAATTAACTCAAAATGGATTAAAAACTTAAATGTAAAACCTGGAACCATTAAAAACAAACAAACAAACAAACAAAAAACTGTAGGCCAAACACTCCATGATATTGGCTTCCTGGATGTCTTTAAGAACTCAATTCCAACATCAAAGGACATAAAAGCAAAAATAAACAGGTAGGGCTACATTAAACTAAAATAGTTTCTGCATAGCTAATAAAATACCAAGAAAGTGAAAAGGCAGCCAAGTGAATGGGAAAAATATTTGTATATCATACATATGACACAAAGCTAATATCCAAGAGCTATAACTAATTCACTCAAAAACAAAACAAACAAACAAACACACACATACACACACACAAAACAATTGATAGAAGAGCTAAGCGGATACTTCTCCAAAAAGAAGAGCTAGATGACCAATAAGCACATAAAAAAAATGCTCAGTATCACTTTAACATTAGAGAAATATAAATCAAAAACATGAGATACCATATGACATCAGTGAGACATGACAGCATATTAAAAAATGTCAGAAAAAAAAATGTTTTTGAGGGTGTAAAGAAAAAGAACCATCATGCACTGTTGGTAGGAATATAGACTGGCCCAATCCCTATGGTATCATATGGAGATATCTCAAAACAATACACGGACATCTCCTATATGATCCAACAATTCCATTCCAAGGCATGTACATAAAGAGTGCAAACACTAATTTGAAGGGATATGTACACCCTTATGTTCCATTATAGCACTGTTTACAATAGCGAAGTTATGGAAACGACTTAAGTGCCATAGACAGATAAGTGGATTACAAAGATGTGGTATATACACACAATGTAATGATGTATGGCTATGAAAAAGATGAACTCTATCCATTTACAGCAACATGGATACAATTGGAAAGGATTATACTAAGCAAAATAAACCAGAATGTGAAAGACATATACTGGATAATTTCATTTCATGTGGTATATGTGAAGAAAAGTAAAGGGTCACACAAAATTAAGTCAAAAATAAATCTTACAGGGCCTCCCTGGTGGCGCAGCAGGTTAAAGCACAGCACTAAGAAGCTAAAAGCCACTTCAGCATGAGTTCAGTCTCCACCCCAGAGGTGACCCACATGACATGGCAGACCTCTCCTGACCCACCCACTGCTCCACTCAGCAGTGTACTTCGTCGATCTGCCTGTTCTGCTCCCCACTCTGTCTCTGGTGAAGCCCCTCACCGCCCTGCACCTCTGACTTGTACCCCAGTTCTGTATGCATAAATAAATAAATCTTTAAAGAATAATAAATCTTAGAAATCTGACTATAAAATTGAGAATACCAGAGGGGAGAGAGGAAGGTAGCAAACAAAAGGAGGAGAGATCTTTGGGGGAAGACTATGGGTGTCTTGATTGTGACAGCTATGTGCTATTATACTTCTGATCAAGTGTGAACCCGCAGCTCTGAATGCTATACAGTGCTGTAAACCATTTCCTCAATTAAAAGCAAAACAAACAAAAAAAGCCCACTTCCTACCAATGACTATCCGAACCCTAACTTTTTTCCTAACTTTTTTCCTCTACAACTAAGCTAGTTTTCCTGACATGTATCCAAGAAACTTGCTCTCATACTTTCTCCACTAATTAGCATCAAACCTGGAAGTCTAAATTAGATCATCCTTTTATGTGCTTCCACACACATTATTTCTCACCCGTCCTAACACTGGGGAACTTTTCATTTTGGTGTTATTGTCACACTGAATGGAGCTCATTAAGGACAGGAATTTCTGTATCATCTTACAAATTATCCAGTATATGTCTTTCACATTCTGGTTTATTTTGCTTAGTATAATCCTTTCCAATTGTATCCATGTTGCTGTAAATGAATAGAGTTCATCTTTTTCATAGCCATACATCATTACATTGTGTGTATATACCACATCTTTGTAATCCACTTATCTGTCTATGGCACTTAAGTCGTTTCCATAACTTCGCTATTGTAAACATTGCTATAATGGAACATAAGGGTGTACACATCCCTTATGTTTCAGAAATTCTATAATGTGTAATATCTAGCACATAGTAGGTAGTATATACTCATCTCCTAAATAAAGATATTTATTTAGGTATTTTGCAAAGGTATTTTGAATACTTAAGTTACTTTCAATAGCTCTTCTTTATCTTCTTACTTTACCTGAGTGTTCAAAAAGTAATAGCATAACTTTGATATTCTTGGAATTTGTAACTAAAGCATTAGGAGAAGAATTATGTTTTGAGGGTCTCTCTGGTGGCTCAGGGATTAAAGACACAGCATGATCAAGCTATCATCAGCCACTGCAGCACAACTTTGATCCCTACCATGGAGCTCTCCACATGACACAGCAAATCTCTCCTGTCTTACCCGCTGCTCCCCTTAGCAGTGTATTTTAGTAGATCAGTCTGTTCTGCTCCCTACTCTGTCTGGTGATTCCTTTCACCTCCCTCACTTCTGGCCTACACCCTACTTCTTGTATGCATAAATAAATATTAAAAAACTTTTTTGGAATCCTGTTTTTTGGGTGAAAGGTGATAAAAGTCACCACTTTGTTAATACTGAATAATATACAGATGATATATAAATATATGTGTTATATAAATTGGTATGTATACATAAATTTAACATGTTTATACATATGTATGAAATTTCAAACATTCTAAAATATGTTTGTTTTTCTTTGCAGGACAGAGTTCTTCACCTGGTAAGAATTAAAAGTTTCATTTTACTTATTTTATTTCTTTGCAAAGCTAATATAAGTTTTATATAAAACTTGTATAGAAGTATGAAACCAACTGCACATATAATTATATTTACATGCATTTGTTTTTCTTAAACTTGACAGTAAATCACTTGCCAGGGCTCCAATTTCTTTTTAAATCTTAGTGTTGCTAATAATTGAAGTTAGAAGACAAAATCTTATAACTCAAAAATGGGTCAGAGAATTATCTGAAAACAGAGAATTCTAAACATAAATATAATTAATGAAATCCTTCAAGAGACAAGCTCTTAGACTTTTATGATGTTTTGTAATACTCATTTCTAAATTCTATTGCCATGGTTAAATTAATAAGCTTAACAAGTGCTCTACTAGAAATAAATTAAATTTAACCAATGATAGTGCTGAAAATAAATTCATACATATTACAATCCACCTTAGAGAGGGATTGCACCTGGTTAAAAGACTACATCACTTAAGTGTTATTGTTGAAATACATATTTTCTTATTAAACATTTGGTTGACAGTTTGTAAGAAGGCAGGTGAAACCATTATGAGGATTCTGATTTGATAATTATAATGCACATTTCTAATGAAATGTTATGAGAATTTGGTTACTAGCAGTTATTTTTGTTATTAAATGATAATTCATTCCAAACTGAAGAAACAAAGAACTATGCACACAGTAACAAAATGCTCCTGAAGTTACATAGGATGATATTCTTTTCTTTTTTAAAAGATCAAATATTAGAATGTTGTAATTTTCTAGTGCGGCTGATTTTATAAAAATGTGTAAACCACTAATGAAAACAGGTTGTGATATGATTTTAACATTTACATACAATTTGTCATTTCTACCATTTACAGAAGATTAAGGTCATTTTAACTGTATAAACTGGTAATCTCTGCAGAAGGGTTTGGGAATGGGGTGGAATGGAAGTGCCTGTTTAAAATTGTAGATGACTCAGCACCTTATTATCTTTGCCCCTACTCTATTATAACAAGTCCCCAAATGATGAAAGCAGCTTAAAATCATGACTCAAAACTTAAATGAGAACGGTGTCTCCAAATATTGACAACAAGAAAATACTTAGTGGAAACTAGTGATATCACCCGAGTGGGAGTACAGAGACAGTGTCAAGTTGGCAATTGACGGATGTTTTCTAATTCTGAATTAAATTCTTACTTATGAAACTAGAGAATATATACTGAATTATGCAAGAATACTAATGCTTTTAGGTACAAGGGTAGTTCTCTGAACACCCTTTCTTACTACACCCTAGACTGAATTTTTTGACTAGAAGCAATTTTGAATGATGTTCTTCAAAAGAGTATAGGTGTTGGAAATGGTTTTGCTTCAAGTATCTGTAATTCAAATCTACGGGAGCAGCTTCAACATCTCTCAAAGGAAAAAAGATTTGTTGGAATCCCTGTCAACATCCAAGTTAGTTTCACCTAAAATCAACGAACCATATTTAGCTGAGTGTTTAATGATGATAGTGATTTAATGTCGCTGATCATTCCCTCATCTCACCCTTTCTTTTTCCTGTATTTCCTCCCCCACCCCACCTCCCCGACACTCCTACTTCTTTTTTCTCATGAGACTCTAACACTGGACATATAATGTACATTGAGGACAGGGTGTGGCCATATGCTGGCTGCTCAGTGGATGTAATTATGGTTGAAAGCTTGTAAGGATTTATTTGTAAGTTATCAGGCTACAAAATCCTGTAAAATTTTCTTTGGAAAATGACATGTACAACAACTTACAGTTGCTTTGGGTTTCTGCAGTCCCAGAATAGTTTTCTAATTTTTCATGGGCACAATTCTCTACCTTCTACATAGTTTTGTTAACTCTAAGAATTTTCTACCATGTTGTGACATGCTCCTCAATGGGGAAGTACTACTAAGGATGCTGCTTCACGTGAGACTGTTGAGATGATGTGGAGGTGCCAGGCATCTCTGCCTCCTGAGTAATCTTGGTTCCTTTCATGTAAGTTTCGCCCAAGAGAGAGAGTGTGCATAAAAAATAAACCACGAAACTAAATGTGTATTGCTCCCGCCTCACTTTTTTCTGCATTTAAAAATATAGATGCTTTTCTAAAATCCAAATTTAGTAAAGGTTGATTTCACCTGAACTTCAGCACTAAATGAATGAAGCTAGAACTCCACTGTGTCACTTCTATTTTCATTTTCTTATCTCCTATTTAGTAATCTCTCCATTCTCATTTTTGAGTCTATTTTATCATATCAATTCTACTTCTTTCTAGTTTCTCCAGTACTCTCCCTATGTTTGAGCCTGTTCTCTTGTCCAGTCTTTTTAAATTAATTAACATAATTTTCACACTATAAATCAAATTTAACTAATTAAATATTAAAAAGCATAAGTTTTGCAATTCATAGAAATAATACATGCAAAACATGGAGAAAGTTAAGAAAAAAGAAACCTATGAACTTAACATCAGAGATCACAATTTGATTTTTATTTTTTTAAAACAATTTTGATGTAATTCTTCATTCTTTTATAAAGTATATACACAAACAAAATTAAAGGCCCTTATACAAGATGTTTGTTTTTCCTATAGGAAAACATTGTATGCTTATTTGCAAGTGCCTGTTTCATAAACATTTTGTCATATTTTTCTTTTTTCTCAAATGAACCAAAACTATAGAAAATGTTATTTCAGTGTCTCAGTTGTAACTTTTGAAATAATGAAGTTAAAAACATTTGTGGACTTTAGTCATTTTGTGTATCTTCTAATGAATTTTGTCTCCTAATATTTTGCTTTGCCTTTACTTTGTTTGAATATTATTTATTCAGAAGAAAAACCTTGTGTATCTAGCAGTCTATGTTTCTTTTCCCCCCCCCAGAGCCCAGGTCCTCCTAATAATCCTTTCTGTATTTATCTTTCTCTTTTCTTCATTGATGTCTTTTATAAGCTCTTTCAATCATATTTATGTATGGCATTTCATTCTTCTGCATCAGATTGCTTTGGAGAGCTGAGAATTCAGCAACTCAGTGGGGAGAGGGAACGGTTTTGTTTTCAATTATATTCCCCATTTTATCCTTAATCATTGTCCTGTATCTCATTTTACATCATCTAAACCTATATATATTATATCTGCACCTTTGTATGCATCTTTAGTTGGTATATATGTATATATGGTATATGTATTTACAAACATATGCACCATATACATATATATTGTACATCCTATCTGTATGGTTTGTGCATATACACAGATGTGTACGTATGTTTATAAATGTCATAATGGACTGGGGAGTTAGTAAACTCAGGTGAATATGTATTTCAGGATGTATTCACATATTTATTTTTTCCTTCTTCCATCTCCCATGAATATAACAGGACCGGATACAACAGAAAATCCCATTGCTTCTGCTACAAGTGGCCCCTTACCTGCTAACAGCACCTCACTCTCACCCACAAGCATCTCTGAAAGAGAAAATGGCTCCTCAGAGAACATGCCATCTCTTAGTTCAAACACTGCTTCAGCTGAAGTAGCCCTGAACACTTTGGGTAATTCTAGCACTCTGGATGTTTCAAATTGGCATTAACTGAAGTGGAATTTTAACGGAAATGGAATTAGAGCAAATGATCTTTCTTTTTCTTTTTTGAAAATTATCAGAGCAGTTTTTCTTTAAATTATGTGTTCATTTTCTATGCATGTGACTTTATTAAAGTGTATAAAATATGAGAGCGAAAAGGTGCTTATGAAATACTGACTAAGGTGTTTACGAAATAGTGAACATGGACAGAGAGAAATAGAGACAGAGATGAAGGAGATACCTGAACTCCAGGGACTGCTTCATCCTCTAGCTTCCAACTCACTGAAGCGTTCTGTAGCCCCAACAAATAAAGACTCCTTATTCAGGGCCCTGTCAATCCTGCCCTCCCTGGCTGTTATCCCAAAATAGGATCTTTCTTTTCTAATTCCAGATTCTCAATGTAAGAAAATTATTGGAGACAGACGACTTTCTTTCTTTTTTTTTTTTAAATGTCTTCCAGGGACATTTGCATTATTTTTAAAAAAGAAAAACGACTATAATAAGGTAGTGAGTCCTAATGGTAGAGTTAAGACTATGTGGCCATATTTATAGAAACATGTCAGAGTGGTCTGGGAAGTACTTTCATCAGGGAAGGCCACTGATGCTCCTTAGAATCCCGATGCATCATTCTGTGTTTGCCATTAGGGCTGCCAGTAAGTCTCCCTTCCTTGAATCACCGTTCATAACTTGCCTGAGATAATGTGCTATATTGCCATTTTCCAAGCAAACACATTGACAGACATACTCTGAAACAGGATACAAAGCCATTGATCAACAATGCCATTAACCTGTTTTTGGAAAACAAACATGTATACCATTACAGAACATTCTGTACAAGGCAATTACAGAGTTTTGAGTATCATACTGATGAAGTTTATTGGTTGTAAGAAGCTGTTAAGTAAGTGGTCAATGACTTCTTATATTAATAATAAGACTGTATATTTAGCCATTACACATTTTTTCTGCTACCATGACAGCGTAGTGGCTAGGAACTAACATTGCAAGCATTTGAATTCACTCTATTTTCTATCAACTTAGTTTTTTTTTAATTATATTATTTTTATTTTGTGTGTGTATAGAACTAGGGTGTAGGCCAGAGGTGGGGGTTGAGGGGGTAGAATGAGAGGATTCACCAGAGACAGAGTGGGGAGCAAAACAAAGGCCAGAGTCGTTATAGCACTGAGACTTAGCCTCTAGGCCACCAGGAAAGCCCTCTATATCATGTCACGCAATTTTCCATTTCAAAATTTCACTTCACATGCATAAACACACACGAGACATTTCTACCATTTTTTTGGTGTTTTTAATTTATTTTTACCCATTTTATTCTCACAAATTTTCTCTCCAAAACTTTTAAGTTAGAGATAATATATGAAGCAAAATATGACAAAAAGGGTTAAAAAAGAAATGGACAATA